TTACAATCAGTCATAATATCAACACTAAATTTATTTTCACATAATTACTAGTTAACATTTATAAAAATGATTAGTAAATAAGCATTTTTGTGTTATGGGCCTCCAAAACCCTAATAAATCCCCAATCCCCTTATATATATTCTCTTCCACAACATTTAGGGCTTCTTCACTCGCAGCAATCCTCCGCCACTCTCCTCAAACACACTCTCCTCAGCCGTCTCCACTCCCAAATCCACCAATGGCGCAAGAGCAGCTCGTCCTCCGCGGCACCATGCGCGCCCACACCGACTGGGTCACCGCCATCGCCACCCCCATCGACAACTCCGACATGATCGTCACATCCTCCCGCGACAAGTCCATCATCCTCTGGACCCTCACCAAGGAGGACCGCAACTTCGGCGTCGCCCGCCGCCGAATGAACGGCCACTCCCACTTCGTCCAGGACGTCGTCCTCTCCTCCGACGGCCAATTTGCCCTCTCCGGATCCTGGGACGGAGAGCTCCGCCTTTGGGATCTCCAGACCGGCGTCACCGCCCGTCGCTTCGTCGGACACACCAAGGACGTCCTCTCCGTCGCCTTCTCCGTGGACAACCGCCAGATCGTGTCCGCCTCCCGCGACAAGACCATCAAGCTCTGGAACACCCTCGGCGAGTGCAAGTACACCATTCAGGACCAGGACGGCCACACCGACTGGGTCTCCTGCGTGAGGTTCTCGCCCAACACCCTTCAGCCGACCATTGTGTCCGGCTCCTGGGACAGGACTGTTAAGATCTGGAACCTGAGCAATTGTAAGCTCAGGTCGACTTTGGCTGGCCACTCTGGCTATGTCAACACGGCGGCTGTCTCCCCGGACGGCTCTCTGTGCGCTAGTGGTGGGAAAGATGGTGTGATTTTGCTCTGGGATCTGGCCGAGGGGAAGAAGCTCTACTCGCTGGATGCTGGCTCTATTATCCACGCCCTCTGCTTCAGCCCTAACAGGTATTGGCTCTGTGCTGCGACTGAGTCCAGCATTAAGATTTGGGATTTGGAGAGCAAGAGCGTTGTTGTGGATCTCAAGGTGGACCTCAAGCAAGAGAGCGGTGATATTGCAACTGAAGGGGCCGCCCAGACTGCTACTGGGAAGACAAAGGTAATGTTTTCTTCTCTCTCTCTCTCTCTCTCTCTCTCTCTCTCTCTCTTACTATATGTATTGATGTTGCTTTGTTGTTTGAATTGTTCTTGCTAATACATCCACTCGAGGGTTGACTCTGAATGTACCTAAGGTAGGTGTGTAAGTTGTTTTAGAAGATAACTTCAATGTCTTAATTTTGATGAACTTCAAGTTTTTATCTTGCTACTATTCCTAGTTTCAATGATGATTGTCTTTTGAGTTATTGTTGCTTCGTAATTTTGTGTGAAACTATGTTATATTTGTGGTTGTATTATGCATAGATTTTCTCTGGTGCCAGTTATGCTTTGCATCCACACTGGTGTTTGGTTTCTGTTGAGCTTTTTGAATGGTCAATGTTTTATGAACTATAACATATGTTCTCTAGCTTCATGAAGCTGCCATTAGTGTTGCCAAGGCATGTTTTGTTTCTGTTAAATGGCCATTGTAGTTCAAGGTTTATAAAATGCTGCTCCCTTTCGTTTGTGTAATAATATGTGCTGGTCTAGTTCAACATGTAAGATTTTCTTCAATCCTGTAAATCTTATTTAGATGTTTTAATTAATATTCTATGTTTCCCGCTCTCTTTTTGTGATAGTAAAGTATTTTTTATTTCTCATTTTTCTACGTCCTCTTAATAGTTAGCAGTATATTGATTGATTTTTCAGCATCAGGTTCTTTAAATTAATACCAGAAAAATGAACGCACTACTTGTCGTAGGGCCACTCATGAAGGTTATTCGACGAGAACTGCAGATTTGTGATAGTTGCAAACAAATATATAAGCTACAATCCCTCCCTATATATTAATTCAAAACGTGTTGAGCCTAGGTGGCAAATTCTCACGCTTCGGATGCGGACATGGCAAAAACCTATGCTTCGTGATGTTGTTTTTATATTATTTTAAATCTGGAGTTAGGTTTGGTATTAAACATAAATAACTTTACACATATTTATTAACTCAACACCCATGTTGTACATGGGTATTAGTACTAATGTCATATAATTCAAAATGGAGGGTGTATTACATTAGATATCTGGTCCTGATTTAGTTGATTGTTTAGGATTGGTGTATACTGTTGTGCACTCTGGTCCTGATTTAGTTGATTGTTTAGGATTTGTGCATATTGATGTGCGCACATTACTTGCAAACTTGCTCTAAACAAGAACAATACTTAACAAGCACGTGTGTGCAGTCTTTGACTTGGATAATTGTAGCTGGCTCTAGAAGTGCTGGGTGGTTGCTATAGGTTGGACTTGATTTATAGTCAAACTTAGTTCAAGGGAATATAACACTGTAATGTTTGCGGCTTTATTGTATTAATAATATTGTGATAATGTTGTGCATTTCTTCACTGCAGGTCATATACTGCACCTGTCTCAACTGGAGTGCTGATGGAAGTACTCTCTTCAGTGGTTACACAGATGGTGTTATCCGAGTGTGGGGTATTGGTCGTTACTAGAGAGCAAGACGACTTTAGTTGAGTTACAGAGGTTTCAATTAGTTTTTTCTTGCAACTCTTGGAGAAGAAGAATATTTGGTCTCTATTTTATGGTTTTGAGCTTTTGACTATTTTGAATTTTGAGTATTTTTACAAGTACATTTTGTGCTTTATGACTCTTTGGTGAAAAGAAGTTTGTTAAAACTTTAAACTAGATGTGATGCGTCTTGAGTTTGTCTTCTATAAAGTTCCTCTGTTTCTCCTGACCTGACTCACAGATTTTCTGAAATTGTGAATGTGCTTTTGATTAAGTAGCTCGTGCTATGCACGAGACAATAATTATAAATTGTAATTACTAAATGAATAAAAGAGTATTGATTAGTATAAAATAATTTTCAATTTTAATAATTATTTTTTTATGATATATAATAATTTAATAAATGATTTATAACTTTATTTCATTTGTTATAAAATAATTGTCACGTTAGGGTTCTTGTTATAAACAAGGATAATGATAAGCATATTAAAATATTATCAATAAATAATACTCTAGTATCCTCCGCTTTCTCTCTATATCATCCCACCCTTACACATAATGTTGTGTATTGTTGTATATAGATTTGATGAAAATTAGTTGATGTAGTTGTAGGCAATTAAATTTTGAGCCAATAAAACGGCGACAAGTGTCAAATTCCATGTC